TTCTAGGAGATGGGATATCTCCATTAATTAATATTATTATTAAAGGGCAGCTCCTTTCCCCCTGGCACCAAGCAAACCCTTTCTGTCCCAGATCCCCTCTGCCTCGCTTGGTGCTACATTGCTCATGGGTGAGCCCCAGGCCCCCTTATCGTGTGTACCACAGAGCCCCTTCTCCATCTCCCCCAGGCTTTCACCCCTCCTGAGCCCCACACCCTGCCACCCCCAAGCTGTCTTTTGTCATCACCATCTACATTGCGATAGTGCCCAGGAGCCCCAGTCGCAGAACCAGGACCCCATGGTGCTAGGTGCTGTACAGAACAACGATGGTTCCTGCCCTCGATCCCGTCAGGCATTTGAATCCCTCCCCGCCCACAGGGACTGGGCCATAAGTATCTAGATCGCTACCATGTAAATCCCCCCTCCCCCCCTTGACAGTCTGAGCTTTTATTACTGAGCCCCCCCCACACCTGCCCTTCCTGTGCCACCAAGCTGCCCCTCTCCTTTGCTAACGTAACCCCCCCTCCCCGATCCCACCTGTGTAACACTGAGCCCCCTTTATCCCTGACCCCAACCAAGCTCCCTCCACCCCTGAGCTTCCAAGGCAGAGTTTAGCAGGGGCCCCTCCAAACTGTCCAGATGCCTGAATCTGAGAGGGGCTTTGTTAAAGGCAGGGGGGCTGTAGGAGAGGGCGCACTTCCTGGCTCTTTAAGATGTCCAGGGGCAGGGGAGATGCCTGCTCCAGTGCTGGATCAGAGCTGCCATCTTGCTCTCATCTGGGCTCATCCTGGGCCTTGCATTCCTGGGCTGGAAAGAGCCTGGAGCGCCCCCGTGGGAGGCAGAGCACAGCTGGCTAACTCTTGTGCATGTCCCCCCTTGCTCTCTTGCGGGATCCACGTGAGCAGGGCTTGCACTAAGCATGCACAGCTGTACACAGAGCAAAACAAACCTACCAAAACAAACCCCTCTGGGGCACGCCCCGTTCTCCTGGGGAGAGGAGCAGAGAGAACAATGGATATTAGTCCCATTGCTTAATGCATGACTGGAAGGGGGTGGGGTGAAAGAACCTGCATAGAACTGATTTAGCAATAACCCTCCCTGCCCCTAAAGGGCACTGGTGCTTGCCTTCCTGGATTGACAGTGCAGGAGGGCTTCAGTAAAGCTGCCAATTTTTAATGCCTTCCCTATTGGTTAGGGGTGTCAAGGGATCCTGCGTTCTATTCCTGGCTCCAGAAGGGAGTGTGGTCTAGTAGTTAGCACTGAGGACTGGGTACTAGGAGACCTGGGTATTATTCCCAGCTCTGCCACTGATTTATTGTGTGACCTTAAGCAAGTCACTGCACTGCCCCGTGCCTCAGTTTCCTCCATCAGATAACCTTTGTAAAGTACTATGAGAGCTAGGGGAGAGGAAAGATGGGCCAGTGGTTCAAGCCCTAGCCTGGGACTCAGGAAACTGCAGTTCAATTCCCTGCTCTGCCCCAGAGTCCCTCAGTAGTAGGGGGTGAGTCATTTAGCCTCTCCGTGCCTCAGTTTCCCCATTTGTACAATGGGGATATCGGCACTGCCCTGCTGCACAGAGGGTGTGAGGATAAATACACAGGAATGGGGAGGCGTTGACAGTGATGGTGCCCAGGTATTATAATGTATTATTGCGATGGCACATGGGAGCCCCGGTCACAGACCAGGGCCCCATGGTGCTAGGGGCTGCACAGACAAACCCAAAAAAGAGAAGGACCCTGTCTAGCTACCTAGCCAGATCTAGGGTTTAAAAAAGTGCTATAGTTCTCAATCTTTCCAGACGACTGTACCTCTTTCAGGAGTCTGATTTGTCTTGTGTATCCCCAAGTTTCGCCTCACTTAAAAACTACTTGCTTACAAAAATCAGACATAAAAATACAAAAGCGTCACAGCTCTCTATTACTGACAAATTGCTGACTTTCTCATTTTTACCATTTAATTATACAATAAATCAATTGGAATATAAATATTGTACTTACATTTCAGTGTGTAGTATATAGAGCAGTATAAACAAATCACTGTATGAAATTTTAATTTGCACTGACTTCACTAGGGCTTTTTATGTAGCCTGTTGTAAACCTAGGCAAATATCTAGAGGAGTTGATGTACCCCCTGAAAAGCCTCTGCGTACCCCTGGTTGACCCACTGCTATAGCGGGTTATTACTCTCGTAAGCTGATGAGCGAAGACTTCTTGTAAGCTGGGAGGCCAACTGGGAAGAGGGAGATCACTGAAGCAGTAAATTGGGATCCTGCTTCCTGCACTAGGCTTGGGAGGTACCACGTCCGTGTTGCCACTGGCCCAGCAGGGCCCTGGCCTAGGTGTCATCGCTGCATGTGTCCCCCTTGGGAATGATGCTGCCCGCAGCACGTTGGGCCTGGGATCGGTGCAGTCCATGATGCCCGTGAACGGGGTGGGGGGGGGGACAGCCTCAGTTGCTGCTAAGGTGGGGCGGTGGGCCAATCAGTTGCCACCCTCTCTAGGGGAAGACGCTGGCTGGGTAGTTGCTTCCTACTCTGATCCTGCTGCCAGGTTGGAGGGGGAGAGGGAAGGGGGGGGTCCCATTGTCCCTAGAGATGAGCCCCCCTCCACCCACCCACACATGCACACAGCTGCTTGGACTGTCCTTGGTGCACGCGCTCAGCTGGGTCCACGCTCTGTGTATCAGCTGCTGACATGCTGTCTGCACCCAGCTGAGCCTGGGGGGACTGGGACCCAAAAGCCACCTAACAAGCTCTACCTGCTAGAAGCGGCTTGGGCCATGGTGGTCTGAGTGACAGCAGGGGGAGGGGAAATGTCCTGCCCCTGCGCGCCCCCTTTCCCCCCCTGCATTGTCTAGAGCAGTGGTCCCCAACGTGGTGCCCGCGGGTGCCATGGTGCCCGCCGGGGCATCTATGTGCACCCGCATAACTGGCTGGCGGACAAGCATCCGCCGAAAAGCCCCCGAAAAGCGGCATCACCAAGAGGCGTTGCCGCCGAAATGCCGCTGATTTTCGGCGGCGACGCCTCTTGACGTTGCCGCTTCTCGGCAGCATTTCGGCGGATGTTTGTCCGCCGGCCACGGTCCTTGGTGTTTCGTCATCCAGCGCCCGCCACCCGGAAAAGGTTGGGTATCACTGGTCTAGAGCAAACATGCTGGCCCACCACCTGGTGGAGATGTATTTAGAGACAGCAATCAGATCCCCTCTCAGCCTGCGCTTTGCCAGGCTCAACAGCCAAGCTCTTGTAGTGTCCTCTTGTAAGACTGGTTTTCCATTCCCTGGAGCGGTGGTTCTCAACCAAGGGTACACAGAGGTCTTCTGGGGGTGCATCAACTCATCTAGATATTTGCCTAGTTTTACAACAGGTTACATAAAAAGCACCAGCAAAGTCAATACAAGCTAAAATTTCATGCAGACAATGACTTGTTTGTGCTGCTCTATATACTGTACACTGAAATGTAAGCACAATATTTATATTCCAGTTGATTTATTTTATAATTATATGGGAGAAATGGGAAAGAGAGCAATTTGTCAGTAACAGTGGCTGTGACGCTTTTGTATTTTTATGTCTGATTTTGTAAGCAAGTCGTTTTTAAGTGAGGTGGAACTTGGGGGTACGCAAGACAAATCAGACTCCTGAAAGGGGGACAGTCGTCTGGATAGGTTGAGAGCCACTGGCCTGGAGCATCCTAGTAACACTTCTCTCTGGCTGCTCCAGTGTGAATTCACTCCTGAGTCCCTCCTGGTTTTACTACTAGACCACACTCCTCGCCCTGATCCGAGTATCATGCCAGGCTCCTGCTTGAACTAGGGGCTGGTCTACACTTAAAACGCTGCAGCGACACAGCTGTGGCACGTCACATCTGAGCGGTGTAGTTATACGGACCTAATTTCCTAGTGTAGACATGGCCTAATAGACCACGCTCCCTCCTCGTGTTCGGAAGAGAACGCAGGACTCCTGACTCCCTGAAGCTGGGCTGTAGAACCTGGGAGTCTTGACTCTCGCTAGCCACTGGACCATGTGGCTCACTTAAGGGGTGTTACTGTGTGTGCTGAGTGGCTGCCCCACCCCAGCACCCACAAGGTCCCTTGATGCCATGGCCTGGCATTGATCTGGTTTGGGATGGGAGGTGGCTCTAAGAGCTTGTCTACACAAGGGGAAGTTGTTGCCGATTAAGCCTGGGTGTGAATTTAAAGTGCAATAGCTCTCCAGGTGGACGCTCTTATTCCAGCACGAGGGTGCCTTTTTCTGGCGTAGCTTAATCCACTTCCAATGAGAAGTGGGCTGCTTCATATTCCAAATGAGCGTGCCCACGTGAGGTTAAAGCAGGTTAAAGTCACACCTTTTGTTAATTCGGATAAACTTTCCTGGGTGTCTCCTTGTAGGCAAGACCTTATTCTGGAATAAGGATGTCCACCTGGGGAGTTATTCTGGTCAACTGCCCCACGTAGATAAGCCCTAACTCCTTGTGTGAGCACTCTGATTCTGGAGGCACTGGGCTTCAGGAGATCTGGCTTTGCCACTGCCCTGCTGGGTGACCCTGAGCAAGTCATTTCCCTGCCCTCTGCCTCAGTTTCCCCACCTGTAAAATGGAGATCATGATACTGACCGGTCTTTGTAAAGTGCTTTGAGATCTACTGATGAAGAGTGCCCCAGAAGAGCTAGGGGTTGCTATTTATTATTTTTATTCTGGAACGAGAGTGGCACTTCGCACTTCAGGTTAAACCCCGTCCGAAGCAGCATAAACTAAACTGCAAAAGGTGCTCGGATTCCAGAATTCTCCTCCGGGGATTATAGCTGTTTAAATTCACATCCGAGCACATCTTGCTATAACTTTCCCTTGTGGACAAGCCCTTATTTTAAACAGAGCCGGTTCTTCCAGGCGCCTCTGCTCCTTTAAATCATCAAAGCAGGGGGCTGGCCCTATTTTACATAGCCGCTCCCACTCCCCCATCTCCTACTTCCCAAGGATATTTGAGCCGAGATCCGTGCAAGTGACTCAGACTGTCAGTACCAGCGAGGCAGACGCAGACGTGGGGAAGGCAGCTCCAGAGATCTGAGTCACTGACCCGTGCTCCCGTCTCTCTGCCAGGCTGCGAAGCGCGATGGACACCCCATCTCAGAAGAGGGCCACACGGAGTGGGGCGGGTGGCACCCCGCTCTCTCCCACCCGCATCACCCGCCTGCAGGAGAAGGAGGATCTGCAGGAGCTCAACGACCGGCTGGCCGTCTACATCGACCGGGTGCGCTCGCTGGAGTCGGAGAATGCCGGTCTCCGGCTGCGCATCACCGAGTCCGAGGAGGTGGTGAGCCGCGAGGTGTCGGGCATCAAGTCGGCCTACGAATCGGAGCTGGCGGATGCCCGCAAGACCTTGGATTCCGTGGCCAAGGAGAGGGCGCGACTGCAGCTGGAGCTGAGCAAAGTGCGGGAGGAGTTCAAGGAGCTGAAGGCACGGTAAGCCCCGGGGTAGTGCCCATGCCAAGCAGTGGGGCAGCGCGTAGTGGGAAAATTTTCCTTTTCCCCCCTTTCCAAGAACGGAGCAGTCCCGAAAAGCCTGAGTGGGAGCAGTCAGGGCTGGCAGCCTTGGGAGAGAAGCCACAAATATCCCAAGGCCGTGGGCCAAGCGACTAGCGTGTTGTAATGTGTTTGGCAAACAGTGAGGGACGTGGAGGGGGAAAAAACCAATCCAGACTAGGAGGAGGATGGGAAAAATCTCTACCCTGGCTGGGATGTTACAGTGGAAGCTGGTGTCGTGGTGGGGGGGATGATGCTTGGCTTCCCCCACCACCCCGCAATAAATTGCTGCATGGTCAGTGTGTAAATTCAGCACTGGGTGTTCAGGGGCCGGCGCCGTCCTTGGCGCGGGATTGTCTCGGCAGCTGTCAGCTGGTGCGGCGAGATCCTGGTGAAAGGGCCTTGACTAATGTGACGTAGAATGAGCAAGGGATCTGATCCGAGCTGCCAGGCTTCGGAGGGAGTGGAGCGGGGTCGGTATCCGGATCCGAAGCTAAACTCTGCGTCTGGCCTCCGTTTCTCTAATAGGCTGGATCTGGTGCCCCGGATCCAGATGCCTCTGAATTTGCATTTCGGGACCTATCTCTATCTTCGATTCTCTCTCTGAGGCTGCTGAATAAGCCCTGCGGTAATTGGTCTAGCTGGCCCAGGTCTAGCCGGCCCCGGCTCTCCTGCCTGCAGAGCTTGCTTCCCTGGCATATTCCCCCCACTCCACCTTTGCCAGTCATTTAAAAACCTGTTTTGTGGGAGCTGAGATGTCCCCGTTACCGGTGGCCAGGGGGTGTTCTGTGTTTATAGTGCGAGATGCCATGCGGGAGGGTCTTTGGGAACGGGCTGGAGCCCAGATCCATGGCTCTGCTGAGCCTCTTTCGACTCCGCTGCGTCTCTTTCGAAACTAGCCTGAGCCTGCTCAGCCAAATGGGATTCACGGGCTTGGCGGCGTGTCAAACTCACCTTCTCATTGCGGTGCTCTGGGGTGTGATGGGGGCCCCCCTGGTTCTGTCTGTCTGGTAGCTTCAAATTCTGTCCCTCCCCTCCCTCTACTGTATTTTCCTTTCCCCTGCTGCTGCCAAATTTGCCTAACCCCCCCTTTCCCCACGCACGCACCTCCCTGCTATACTAGAGTTGGCACCAGGGAGCTCGATAGCACATGGTGGCATTCTGCCCATTCCGACGAGCTGGTTCCCTCCCATGCTTTGGACCTTGGCCCCCAACCAGCAAGGGTTCCCTGGGGACTTGGGTTTCCCGTTCTGTGTCTCCTCGGCCCGTGTGGCGGAGGCGCTTGTCCCCAGCGGGCGGTGGTGGAGGTCAGAGGGATCCAAAGGCGGTTGGGAGTGGCTCCTGTATCCAGAAAGCTTCAGAGCCCTGCAACTTCACCCAGTGGTCCTGATTCAAAGGTCCTGGACTCCCATGGACTTCGGATCAGAACATGACCCTTTAGGGTCTGCAGCTCTGGTGTATTCTGGTCTCTGCTGAGACCCGTCTGCTGCCTCCATCATGCTCCCATCCACAGTCAGTTCCAGGGAGCATGAGCGGGATTCGAACCCAGCTTTGCGTGATGGCAAACAAAGCGCGTCTCCCATTCCTGCATTAGATCTGCAGCGTCCTACCTCCCTGGCTTTGCTATAAAGGAGTTTGTTTTCTAAAAGGCCCCCGAAAGGGACAGCCTGCCATGAATAATCAGCTCACGCAGAAAGCAGGAGGAACATTTTACAGATGTCTTTTAAAAGCTGCCCAGGATTTTATATTTAGCTTCCTGTGTCTCTCCCCAACTACGGATCTGTCTCTAGATAACTCCGTGGTCATCTCTGCATAGAACGGTAGCTAGTTCTGCATTTAGATCCTAGAGTCTCGTTACTATTTGGAGATGGGTTTTGAATGCAGGTTTCCCTGTGCTGAATGTCTGTGTCTGTTCTCCCCTGGCCGTGGGCAGGCCAGGATGGGGGAGGATTTTGAAGGATATGGGGAGGAAGAGATTTTGCTACTACAACAGGAGCCGTGTTTTCTAAAGGCTTTGCAGCCTTAAACTTTAAAACAATCTCCTCTAACTTTTTCTTAAGCCATCCATTACAATCATGCCCGGCCTGCAGCCAGCTCCTGCTGCGGTGTGGCTGTTACACAGCTGCCCTGCTCCACTCCAGAGGTGGCTGCATTGCAGTGATCCCTGTGTGTAATCTGTAGGATCTGTTGCTTACTGGAATGGAATGTGCGTTCTCGCAAACTGGATGTTTTTGCTGCCATTCTCTGACACAAACAGACCCCTTTGGAGAAAATGCCCTTCCCCGAGGGGATTCCCAAATGACCACACTCCTGTTCTGAGCCTAGTTATTAAAAGCGACAATCAGTGACTCAGGCCGTTTATCTTGAAAGCTCCACTCCTACCTTGCTTTGTGCTTGGAGAACAGGCAGTGACCGTGGTTACCAAGAGAGACCAAAGTGTTGTGATGTCTCAAATAGAGACCTGTGAATCAGCAGCGAGAGTGGAGAACAGGGTTTATTTCCCCGGCTGTCGATATTGCATTATTCATTTACTACTTCGAGTTACTGTACCGGTTACTGTGAGCATGAATTCTGGGAAGAGCTTGACAGTGAATGTAGGGGTGGGTGAGCGTGGAGGAGTTGTGTTGGGTTTCAGGAAGCTTTCTGATCTGAAAAGGGACTTTCCCACTTGTAATGAGCAGGATTTATTGCATTCTGTCCTGATTGCTTCCTCCGGGCTGTGAAGTTATTCAGAGTGAGGCACGAGTTAAATGAATCAAAACAACTCCGCTTTGGGGAGGCGTTCCAGTCGAAACAGCATTTCGTGCCTCTGTAGCGTGACTCCTCGGAGGTTCTCAAAGCTCTTTAATACACCGCCTGCAAGAGAGGTAGTTACTTGACTCACTTTACGCATAGAGGGAAACGGAGGCATGGAGCTGAAGTGACTGGTTCGAGGTCCTTCACTGAGCTGGGAATGGAGTGCCGGGGTCCTGGCGCTCGTCACCCGGCTCTAACCACAGACAATATCCAGCGTCTCCTGTGTATGGGAGAGATCTGGGTTGGAAAGAGGTCAGCTAAAAGCGGGAGGTGTAGGCCATTCATTCAGCGCAGCCTTTTCTGGGATAAAGATATTTGGATCCGGTGTTCAAGGAGGCCTCCCTGAATTCGCGTTAGTTGCTCTGCCCGGGGCTAATGGCTTGGAGAATAGCTGGCCTGTGTGGCGGCCCCATAGAGTTGACTGGATCCCCTACTACAGCCTGGGAAGGGAATTCCGAAGGATAAGCTTTTGGGGCGAAAGCTCCGGATTGGGCAGTCAGGGCTCCTGGTCCCAGCTGGGGGACTAGGACCTACGGCGCACGTCCCGTCCCCTCTCTGTTGCTCAGTTTCCCCCTCTGTAAAAGGGGGCAGGGACAATAACGCTCACCCAGGTCCCAGAGAGGGCTGTGAGGCTGGACTCATTGGGCAGGACAATGGAGTCAGGCCCCTCCTGCAGTCACTCATCCCATTACTAAAGGGGTGCAACACGCTACCAGCTGCGAACAGGTTCTGAGCTTGCTTCGAGCTGGGGTAAGTGGCTGCACAAGGGGACGGAGGATGGGGCCCATTGTCTGAAATACTCCGAGCGGCCCCGGGGGAAGATGCTCTAGGAGCACGACTAACCCAGTCCCTGCACGCATTCAGTCTTGCATCTAGCGCCGAGGCGGAAACGTTTCCTTGGTATCTTCCCCCACCAGGCTCCCCGACCTCCTGCGTGCGCGTTATCTGGGCCGAGCAGCCACTGTTCCCTTCGAAGGGCTGGTGTGATAGCATCTACAGCAGGGGAGAGATGACGAGAGCAAAGTGTCTAAAGGCTGTCAGCACCCAGCGTCTCTCGCTCATGAGCTCTGCTTTGGGTGTCTCATTCCCCAGGCTGGCTGAGCCATTAGCGTGGCTGGATCCACCCGGCAGGGCGTGTCAGGAGAAGGGAAGCCAAGGTGCTACTCGGAGCACTTGGCTCTGGGTCAGTAAACGCAGGCGTGGTGATGATCTGGTGTTGGGGACGTTGAGTCGCTCAGCGGAGATGCCCTCCCCTTGCCGTAGGTGCAGACCGTGCTTCCTTCCAGGGCTGGAGTCTTGATTCTTGATGGTGAAATTAACACTGGAGAAAGGTGCCGCGTTGGCTCAGGCCAGGGGCTGAGTGCTAAATTAGTGCCGCTTTCTAGCTCTTTTCCTCAAGGGGCTTGGCTGGTGGCTCGGCAACTGTTCACCGAGCCTCCCAACAGCTTTGTACAGTAGGAGGTACATTATTGAACCCATTTTAGCAAAGGGGAAACTGAGGTAGAATAAGGCTCAGTGACTCGCCGAAGCTCTCAGATTCTGTCTGGAACAGGACCCATAAGTTCTGACTCCCCCATTCGTCCCCCGGCCCCTTGCTCTGATCATTAGATCACACTCCCCTCCCAGAGGTGGGGGACTGGATCCAGGAGTCCTCAAAGTCCTCTGCTCTAACCGGTACGCCACACGCTCTCCTGAAGGCATTTCAGTCCCTTCTCTGCTGAATCCACCCGGTGCAGGCGGTGAGAGTGTAAGACCAGGTCTACCCTAAAAAGTTAAGTCGACTCAGCTACATCAATAAGGGGTAGGAAAAAGCCACACCTCTGATCAACAAAGTTACGCTGACATTCCTCCCAGTTTAGACAGTACTAGGTCCAGGGAAGAATTCTAGCTACCATGTCTCGGGAAGGTGAATTAACTACAGTACCAGAAGAACCCCTCCACTCCTTGGATTTGAGACAGAGCCCCCTTCCCAGAGCCCCTGCCACAGCCCTGTGTGTACATGTCTGCACTGGTGCATCCTGGAGTGGTGTCTCCCTGGCCTGTTTTGCCCTGGGGAACTCGCTCTAGTGTTGGCAGTTTCCGTGGTGCAATCCCCGTGCCCTGCCGTAGAGGGTGTGGCTGATCGCTGGGCTTCCAGCAACATC